ACCTGAATTTCTTATTGTAAATATAAGAAAGTATTTTTAGCATAAAACTAACTAAAGATTTGGAAAGGTTATATAATTATTGTTTGATAGGATTCCATATTAAAAGCTAACTAGAAATATAAGAAATTAGTCTCAGAATATAACTGAGTGATATAATGACTATACTTGGGAATTAAACAAATATGAAGGCTAAATATTGAGATATAATTTAGCATGATAAGATAATAGGTAAACTATACATTATTAAAATGACTTATTTCAATTGTTTTATACAGTTAAAAATATGTAGAAAGGTTCATGAAGAAATGACTCAGTGGTAAAAAAACAGTTACTACACAAACTACTGAAGTTTGCATCCCCAGAAACCACCTAAGTGTCAGGCCGGCATGCTGGAATTCTTATAACTTCAGTCTCAGAAAATGGAGTCAGGGCATCCCCAGAGAAAGTTTTTCCTGTTGAGTTCTGGGTTTGATTAAGACAATCTGCCTCAAAAGAATGAGGTAGAAGAGAAATCCAGAAAGATTCCAGTATTAAATGTGGCCCTCATGCACATTCAGGCACCCTCACCACACCTGTGAACATGCTACACATATTTACCAACAGACAAAAGGGAAAAGAATTCTTGTGGATAAACTATCTTAAATAATTCAAAGAAAATGAAGACTGTAGAAAAAGGAAACACAAATATGTTTATAAGGATTACATGTGTGAAGCTGAATGCACGCACGTTGGTAGAGTAATTGTCTAACATACAAAGTCCTAGGCTCAACACCAATGCTGTGTAAAACTAGATATGGTGGTCCACATGTATCACCCCAGCACTTGAGAGATGGGTCAGGAAGATCAGGAGGTCAAGGTCACCCTCATCTACACAAGCAGTTTGAGGCTATGCTAGATTGCACGAAACCCAAAATAGTAACAACAACTAAACTTGTTGGGCTGGAGGGACGATGGTAAATGATTGAAAACACTTGGTCTTCTAGAGGATTAAGTTTTGATTCCCAGCACCTGCATAGCCACTTACACCTGTCCAAAACCCCAGTTCCAAGGAATCCAACACTCTCTTGTGACCTCTGTGGGCACCAGAAAGCAGAACGCTCTTACACATAAAATAAACTTAAAAAATTAAGTAAATTAAACTAAACAAAACAAATTATTCACATATTATGACTCATACATATATGAATAATTTATTCTTAATAGAATTAGCTCAATATTATATTATTTGTTTCTTAAATAACCTACAGGCCCCTATCCAGTTCAATGAAAAACATAAGAGATTTCATTGAGTAAAAGGTGATGAGGTAATTTGTATGTGTCCATGAAGCAATGGGTACGTTAGAATAGTCAACACATTTCTGAAAGTTGACTTTATTACATTAAGGATTTTTTTTTCAGTTCTAGTGATTAGTCTAGTGATTCAGTTCTAGTCTTAATAGGAATACAATGTGGCTTCTAGTAGCTTTTTAAAAATAATGAATCAGATATATAAATAATATCTCATACATACAGTGAAACATTCTGTCATTAAAAATGATGACATGTTTCAAAATTATCTCCAAGGAAAAGTGTTACACATTAGGAAAAGAAAATGGGAGCTAAAAAGTGGCAGACAAGACATAATTAAAATTTTAAAGTACATACAAAAAGTTCAATGACATGTATATATCAAAACACTAAGTGTGATTTTGTATGAGTGGCAGCATGGAGGTCTGGAGGGCGACATTTCAGCTTCAATGCTTTTGGACACGATAGGGATTTTTTCCACTATAAAAATGCATGAGTGTCCATTTGTGCACTGTAGATATAATATCTAATAAAACTGAAAGAAACAGATAAAGATAACCTCTAGGAGACTGAGAAAATTCAACACTACAACTCGGTGGCTGGACTCTGCCAGCGACTCTCCTATTTTCCATGTGTCATCACACAGCAGCTAGGCGATAGGGGATGCTGCATGAGGCAGGCACATGTGCTGAAATTATTTAGTTTCTAGGCTCTTTTCCCATCATTTCTTAGCTGACATTAAGGGAAACACAATGGCAACAGAGTCAACATGTACAGCATCCACCTGCCACACTTCAACTGAAGAGGAGAGCTCACATCTCTAGAATGAATGATGGTCAGTGCATCTCTTGACATGGTCTACACTAAAATCCTCCTCAGTGGTTTGGTCCACAAGGGAGTTTTGTAAGTAAGGAGAAGCATGTGAGCTATCACAGTCTGTTTAGCTTAAATTCTTTTAATAATAAAATCTTTAATTTATGTAGACATTACTCTTGGTTTTAAATAATATATTTATGACTACTGACTAACATAAAATCCCACTAAATGAAGGTACTTAACATGAAAATGATGCAGTGAAAACAACCTGTACTTACTATGTGCTAGCCATTTAAGAAGCACTTCTTACTCTTAAGTCAAAGATTGCTCAAGGTGATCCTTGAGAATGATGCTGTTCACATTCCTCTTATCTATGAGGGAAAAACTTCAGAAAGTAAGGACTTGCTCAAAGCCACCAAGATAAACATGGCAGAACAGGAGAGACACAGACAAGCTACTTTAACTCAATAGCTTTGCCAAAACTCAAGATATGCCTTTAGTTTTTTTTTTTACAAGAAATTTAAAATTATATAAAGATTGCAGAAATATTAGTGACAGTTCTTATATACCCTTCACTCAGGTTCTCTTGTTCAAGTCTTACTCAGTAATTTGCAACAAATAAAAATCCACATTGGCAAATCAAAACAATTCTGACATACCATCTAATGCCTGTCAGAATGGCTAGAATCAAAAATATCAATGACAGCTTATGTTGGAGAGGACGTAGAGAAAGGAGAACACTCCTCCATTGGTGGTGGGAATGAAAACCTATACAGCCACTTTGGAAATCAGTATGATGGTTTCTCAGAAAAATGGGACTCAATCTAACTCAAGACCCAGTAATACCACTCTTAGATATATACCCAAAGGATGCACACTCATATAACAAGGACATCTGTTCAACTATGTTCATAGCAGCATTATTTGTAATAGCCAGAACCTGGAAGCAATCTATATGCCCCTTAACTGAAGAATGGATAAAGAGAATATGGTATATTTACATAATGGAGTACTATTCAGCAGAACAAAGACAATGACATCTTGAAATTTGCACAAATGTATGGAACTAAAAGAAAACATCCTGAGTCAGGTAACCCAGACACAGAAGGAAAAACATGGTATGTATTCACTCATAAGTGGATATTAGACATAGAGCAATGGATAACCAGCCTATAATCCACAACCCCAGAGAAGCTAAGAAACAAGGAGGGCCCTAAGAGGAACATAATGCTCCTCTGGAAGAGGAAGGGACAAGATCTCCTGAGCATATTGGGAGCATGGGGGAGGGGAGGGAATGGGAGGAAGAGGAGAAGGGCAGGGGGGAGGAGAACATGAGGGATCAGGGAGGTTGAGTTGGGGGAAGGACAGAGAAGGTGACAAGAAAATAGATACCTTGATAGAGGAAGCCATTACGGGCTTAAGGAGAAATTTGGCACTTGGGAAATTCCCCAGAATCCCCACTAAGAATCTAAGCAACTGTGGAAAGTGTACTTTAAACGCCCTTCCTCTATAATGAGATTGATGACTACCTTAAATGCCATCATAGAGCCTTCAACCAGTAGATGATGGAAGCAGAAGCAGAGATTCACCTCTAAACACTGAGCTGAACTCTTGGAATCCAGTTGTAGAGAGGGAGAAGTGATAAGCAAAGGGGTAAAGACCAGGCTGGAGAAACCCACAGAAACAGATGACCTGAACAAGTGGGAGCTCACAGCCTCCAGAGTGACAGCTGGGGAACCAGCATAAGATTGAAGCAGCCCCCCCAATGTGGGTGTCAGTTGGGGATCCTGGGCAGTCTATAGGACCTCTGGCAGTGGAATCAATATTTATCCCTAATGCACAGACTTTGGGAGTCCATTCCCCATGGAGGGATACTCTCTCAGCCTTGACACATCGGCGAGGGCCTTGGTCCTGCCCCAAATGATGTGACTTAAATTATCCCCCATGGGAGGCCTTATCCTCTCTGAGGAGTGGATGGGCCATGGTCTGGGGAGATGGTGGGAGAGTAGGAGGACAGGAGGAAGAAGGAACTGGGATTAGTATGTAAATAAAATCGTTTTTAAATTAAGTAAATAAAATTAAAAATCCACATTGGAACACGGGAATTAACCAATCCCACATTTCATTCAGATTTAAGTGATTTATCTCTATTGTGTTCTGCTGGATCAAGAAGCCATCCATGAGGTCACATTACTCTGAGCTGTCACATCCTCCTACTTCCCTCTGAATTAGGACAGATTTTCATGTTTCTCTTGTTTTTGATGACACTGACAAGTATTGAAGATTATGAGTAGAGAAATTTGTAGAAGGTGTTGTACTTTGGCTTCACAGAATGGACTCAGGGTTTGAGGAAGAAGACAGAAATGAAGCTCCATTTTCCTCACATTATCTCAAGGGAACATGGCACTGTGAGACCTCTTATGGATGACAACGGTCTTTAAGAACTGGCTGAGGGAGTTTTGCCTGGTTGTTTCCTCTGCAAGGCCACCATGCCTCCTGCACCCACCATTCTGCACATTCAATATTACAGACGACAGTTAGCAATCAAAGTCTTCTGTGCAGGCTTGGAGGGAAGGGCCTTCATGAGCTCTGTCTTCTTGGGAGTTGCTGGATGGCTATTGATTTCAAATCATTTATGCTTGCACACTAATTACAACTCATTAGTCTATACTACTTCTCTTATCTCACTCATTTTTACTATTTTATCATTTTATTCACACATGATAATTTAAAGGCACACTCATTAATGATTCCCTGATTCTTAAAAGCAAAACACGTTAGAATTAAATGTGACAACATGGACAAATATGTTTTAAAATATTTCCGGCAGATCATTAAGTCATTAAGTAAGTAATTAGAAACACATTTTTCTGAGAAGCACTTTGTACAGAACTTACCAGAAATATTCGTTCAAGCTGATCCTGAATGTCTTTCATTCCTGGAAATGCAGCAACTCCTTGGATCATCTCAACGAAGATGCATCCAACTCCCCTGAAGAAAAAAGAATCATCATAAAAGCATCAATAATTCTATTTAGAAACCCAAATCAGAGATTAAAATGCCCTCACCCCAGGGGGGAAGCAAGGAATTATAAAACTCCCAATGATCAACCAAAGCCGCAGCACACCTAGACCCACACTCGGCACCCCACTTTTTCTATTGCCCCAAAAAAGACTCTAAACATGGGCAGCTATCCTGGCTCTGAACAGAATGGAAAACAATCAAGCAGCAGGCCTCAGTGGTCCCCTTACATTTGTAGGTCATAGGTGAGGAATCCTTGGCTTGACATAGGAAGCCTCTGTGGGCCTTTTCCAGCTTCCTTCCCAGCTATATTTCATAACTCATAATGGGCTCTCCTTTCAGCTTCTGCTCGTTCTCAGTGTTCTCTGAACCAGGGTCATCTGAGAAACTTTTAAAAACCACAACTGCTCTGACCACAAGCCCCAAAGGTTCTGCCCAGGAGTGAGCTACAGAAAAGCTTGAGGGCATCTATGCACAGAGTTGCTGAGCTAGAGTTATCACCTGCCAAACTGAAGTGCTCACATTGCCACACTATCTACAACACTGTCTCTTTACCTATTTGGTCCTTAGCTCTAACTCCAAATCACCCTCTGTGACCCTGGGTCAATGTCTTCTCCTCCAGGGAGCCTTCCTTGGACTTCCTAGCACACAAGATAGTTGTCTCCCTTGAGCTTACTATTCATACCATTTCTCAAGGCATCCATCATCCAATGAGCTCAGCCTTGCCACCTACCTGAACTGCTATGCTCACAGCAAACAGCTAGTCAAATGCTTGGGCTGAGGTTCAGGAGAACTAGTCATTTTGAATAGGATGGCAGAAAACCGGAGTAAATGAGGGAAGTCACACTAATGACAAAGAACTAGTGTAGAGTTTTCATACCTGCACATGAAGACCTCTGACCTGACCTGGTTCCTGCCTGCAGGAGACCAGGGTGTGCAGACAACACTCTCTACTTCATTATCATTCTCTATCATTCTGATTGTCTCTACCTTGAACATGTTTGGGTTTCCTGGCTTATCATGCCTTGTCATTTCTTCAAATGCTGCAATTACTTCCAACTAGGGCAGGCAAACCATGGGATCTTTAACTTACACCAGAATTCCCTCGGGGTAAAAGACAAACTTCTGTGCAGCTGCTCCAGTTGTCATCACAGTTGTGACCAACATTTTTAAATTAAAGTAACACACTAGTAGGAATGCCTTTCTCACAATACATGCCACATAACTTCAACTTAAATGCATACACAAGGGTGTATGCTGCCAAAAGTACCGAACAAAATCCTGACTTACATCATAAAGCCAATTTCACTTGGGGAATGAGAATTAGTTTCATATCATTCTAGACAGATGGAGTTCAGATGTCTGATTACATGCGCTTAAAATGCTAATATGGTGAGTGTCTAAATTTTTTTTTTCTGTCAAAAATTCTTTCCAAGCATATTGACTCTTTCCGTTGTCATTTTACTTAAGTTCACATTAAACACTGTGGGTTTGGAATACCCACACCTTCCTGTTTGTACATAAGAATAAACTCTCTGCTCTCTGCCCTCTATTTTTCTTATTGCACCCATACACTTCAACTCTGACTATGAGAAGCCTCAGCAGAGGCCAACCACATCCTATACGTGCAGAGCTGAACTGGCTGGTGGGATGGGGAGGTAACAGTTTCACTGTCAGAACTGCCCACAGATATTTTTTTTATGGCTACTTTACTTAGTTTACATCATCTCCAAAATATGATACTTAGAAGATAAAACTACACTACAGTTCTGTTTGGTTGGAACAAAATGATGCAATTAATTACTCTGTAGGCTTTGAACTGCTTGGCTGGCTAAGGGATTTGGACTTTCATTCCTAATGTAAGTTTTTAATGATATCATCTTTCCCAAAGACACTGAAGGGCACACTATGAAGTTAAGAGAATTATACTTAGTAATCATATAGAAATTATAATTCCCAAGAAGATAAAAACATAGGAGTTTTACTCAGTGACCATGTAGATATAGAAGGCACAAAAAAAATAAAAAATAGAATTACACAATGCATCAGAGCTATTAATGCAGAAGAATTCTTTTTGACTGGACTTGTCAACCAGCAAGAAATGTCCTTCAATTTCACATGAGGAACCACGCTGTGTGCCCCCTCTTTCTCTGCTCCATTAGTCCTGTGTTCCCTAAACAGAGAAAGTTGACTACACAGACTGCTTTGCTGAGAATGAATTCATCTCCTTATGTACCACACTTAAGAAAGGATGTTGTATACGGACAATGACCTCTTTGTGAATTCTTTTCCAAATTTGAACAAGTATGTAATGATTGCCTACTGAGTCTAAATTCTTCATTAAGAATAACATAAGCTCAAAAAAAAAAAAAAAAAAAAAAAGAATAACATAAGCAATATTGGGTCGATGGCTCACAATACTTGCTAGGCATGCATGAAGACCTGAGTTCAAATCCCCAACTTACACATACAAACTTGGGCATGGTCACACCTCCCTGTAATCCTAGGACTGTAGTGGCTGAGAGACCAGGAGGCTCCCAGGGGCTGTTGGCCACCAGCCTAGCTTCAGGTTATGCGAGAGGCCTGTATTACCTGATATCCCCCTCCACTCTCCACACGGAGGTGCACTAGACTCTGCATCTGCACACACGTGCATACAGCTCTGAATATACACATACACTATGAAGAAAGAACACAGTCTGGTGACAAAGGCCCAGTTGAAAAGGACTCATATGATTCCATTTACTGAAATCTGACTTTAGGATAATTCAGCTGGTAAAGTAACTTGACATAGCTACTCAGGTACACACAGCTTTCAAATTTTTGAAGCTCTAGTTCTACAAATTTAACTTAGGTCATGAGTATATGGATGCTGTTTTAATTTTTTTAGTTAAAATGCAAAATAGTGCATTCTAGTCACCATCACTAGCCAAAATACCTGGGAGCTGGAGATTGATGTCAACTGTTAAGGGAACATACTGTTATTTTAGAGGACCTGCATTTAGTTCTAGGACCCCCATTGTCTGGCTCACAACTGCCTGCAACTACAGCTCCAGAGGGACCTGAAGCTTATGACTTCCACAGGCACTATGCTTGTATGTGTAGACCCTCCCCATCTCCACACATACATACATGTATCTAACTAATTTTTTTTTTAAATTTAAATAGGAGTTGAAATGTAATTGATAATTCTTGTGTCTTTCAGACCTGGAAATTTATAATTTGATTGTATTCATTGAGAAGAAAGAATACAAAGTTAGGCATAAAAATAAAGTATAAAATTAGTTTAAATAAATTTAGTCAAAAGACATTATATAAGTTTAAATGCTGTTTTAATATATAGTATGGGAATAATCAGCATTAATCATTATCTACCAATATTCCTCCCTACAAAGTGGTTAGGTAATCTACAATGAATTCATCATATCTTAAAATATTTTTAAATGTACATTTCCATTTTCTTCTCCTTTCTTTTTTGTTTGTTTTTTTGTAGTGCTAGGTTCAAAGCCCAGCCCCAGCACCTATAAGGCAAATGATATATCTCTGAGCTATACTCCAGCCCAATATCTTTTCTTCTTTCATTTGATTTGATGTTGGGGACCAAACCTAGAGACTTGCACATGCCTAGCAAGTGTTCTACCACTGAGATCCTCCGTGATCCAGTAATGTCTCTTTGTATTAAGAGAATAAAAAAGATTTATATTTTTCTCTAGCATGTGATATTATTTTCTTCTATAGTTTAGGAAAAATATTTTTTCCTGCGGTTTTCTAGAAATACCACCAGCAACCCCTTGTGTAACCCTCCACACCTCCTTTTTACTTTATTAAATAACAATCCCATCCAAGACACCATTCCCCAATCTAATCCCATCAGAATGAAAAGGACTTGGGGCAGCAGTGGGGGGAGACACTTTTCTGCAATCTATTGAGATGTAAGTGAAAGCTACCAAATGGCAGCTATAATTAATGCTTGGACACTTGCATCTCTCCATGGAGGAACCCACACAATTGCTTATGTCATATTCTTCCATTTCTCTTAACTCTCATGTTTAAGCTCTGTGTTAAAAATATTTTTTTTCTTAAACTGCAACCGTCATTTGAGGAGCTCACAACCATACTTGTGTATATTGTATTTTGACCCTTAGAGTCTTTTTCTCTCTTGACCCTCGTGTTTGATTATATAATAACATCCAAAACTGTACAGAATAGAGTGAGGTTACCAAAAACCAACTACTGACATCTATTCTGAAATACCTGCTTAATAAAGTCCTGATCAGATTTTATTTTAGAGTGTGGTGTCATAAGCTTATACTCCCCAGGACTTGCAAGGCTGATGCAGGAGAATCATGAGTTCAAGTCCAGTCTAGGCTACAAAACGAGCCCCTGTCCCAAAACAAAGAAAAAAAATATAGGTAGAGGAACCTAATTATATCTGTCACCAGTCATATTGGATTCCAAGAATAATAGTGTTATCTCTAAGAAAAGGTGACACAATACTTATGCAGTAAAATTTCTCTAGTTCACATTAATCTAATTTTGATATTAGCCCACACAGCTAAAACACTAAAACAGTGTTTTCCTACACTAAATTTCACATCAAGTATTTGGTTCAATCTCAGTAAACAATGCAGAGAGACTTCAATATTATACAGTATGGTCTAATTCAGAATTGAAGAAGTTTCACATTTTGTTTCTACTCTTATCTGTTGGCAAAGGTTTGATATTTCTTGTGTGGGAGACCTTTAAGGCAGAAGTGTGGATGTATTTGCCTGCCAAGTCCAGGAGGGAACCTGACCTCACAGGGCCTAAGCATTCTATGTGCAGAGGCTTAAGGGACTCCCTGAACAGTCACTGTCACAGCAGGGAAAAGCTGCACCTCTACATGTGGGCTTCTCCAAATGCAAGCTGCAGGAGGCCTCTAATGCAGTCCAGATACTTAGTCACAGCTTTCGAGAATGTTCTGCAGCTTC